GGCTGCAGGGATTTGTTCTATGCATTGTAATGAATTGTGTCTGGGTTTGAAAGGATCGGTTTCTACTTGGGAACAGGGGAATACAGGGGAAAGTGTCTGATGCCGTGTCAGCCTGTGAGAGCACATTATCAGCAATTACCAGGCATGTCTGGGTCAAGTACTGTCTCGTTAGGTGGAAACAGTGGATTGGGGTTTAGGAAAAGAGACTTTTCTTTGAGAGGGAGGGAAAAAGGGACGTTACAGCCCCAATCCAGTTGTCGTCATATGGCTGTCAGACTCGTTCACTGGACATAAGCCCCCACCTGCTTGTGGGACTCTGGCAGGCAAGGACAAGCTGAAATCAAACGCAGGACTCCATCCCGCCAAGACATTTCAGCTGCAACTGTTTTTAGGGGATATTTAGAGGAACTGCACCTAGAGCTGAGGTCTCAAGCAACAGCTAATAAGTCCATGACCAAAGAAACATCAAGAGAATCTAAAGCTAAAGTTTTGCCCCTGGGGTTGCTTCTTACAAATCCAGGATAATCCAGTGTTGGGGGCAGGATGTGGGCCAGTAGATGGAAGAACGAGCCTGAGCCAGTGATGGCAATTCCTGTGTCTCTACAAGAAAGAATAATGTAACAGAGTCAGAAGCTGAGCAATGAGGACAGCCAACAAAGGCCTCCAGGATTTATTAGTGCTTAGTTTATCGTAGAAAAATTGCAGACTTGCACACATGCAAATAAAAGGCAAGCAGCTCAGCAGAAACTGTGGAAAGAATGGAAAGCAGGCAGTGTATTAAATAAGAGATGTGAAGTGTTGGTAATTATTATTATGACTTTAAGGGGACTGTATGACTTTTCTGAAGTGATTTTAATGATCATGCTAGGAGAGAGGTAATTCTGGAAATACTGCTTGGAGATTTGTATTGGGAATCACTGAAGTTCACCCAGCAGACCAGGCTGGGACTACTGCAGAAGTTTAAGCGGGTACCAATAAAACATTTGGAGAGAAGGAGCTAGCCTGGAGGTGCTGACACGCTCCCAGCACCTCAAGGCATCAGGCAGTCACCAGGGGTTGATCCCACTGCCCGTGCTTACTGGTATAGAGGGAGGGCCTCAGCTCTGTCTCATCCTTCCATATCTCCACAATGGCTGCAGTAGGGAACCTGAATTCCTAGAATTCTGCCCCATTATGTAGGGCCAGAGAGATTCAGAATGGAGACAAATAAACTCCTGATGTTCTGGTGGGTTCACACGGCATCCACAGCTGGGGCAACACCAGAAACACCTGCTGAATTGCACCTTTGCTGCCCCTTTCTCTGCAGCCTTCTGTCTGGCCCCTTTATTGGGAGGATGAGAAATCTGTGCATCTCGAAAAATGGCTGACTTGGTCCTTTGTATACCGGTCCTCATCATGTACCAAGCGGGAAGGACTGCTGTTCAGGACACTGTACAAACTGTATTTGCTGCTTCTCAGAAAACGTTGACTGTTTTAAAAAAAAAAAATTGAAATGCAGCTGGGTTGTAAGAATTAATCTGTTTGTCTTTACCACTTCTATTTGCTGTCCATAGGTTACCTGGTTCAGGCAAACAATTTTTAAAAACTGGCAAATAAGGGCATGTGCAATTTGTTGTAATGCATAAATATGCAGGTGGGATGCTGATAATCCAGGGACTACGGATGGATGCTCTCTGGGTCTCTGGATGGAACGAGACCTATTCCTCTACAAAAAGGCAAGATGTAAGGTCTGTGAAAACCAGTGACCTCGTGCCTCATGATTAGAAGAATAGTATCAGCACTTATTCGTATAGCCATGAGAAAGGGCTGAGCTGGCTCGCAGCAATCCCGTTAGGCAGAGAACCCCTGGAGAAGGACGCCCTGTTCTGCCAGGGCCATTTTGCCCTGTAGGAGAGAAACTAGGGAGAAGGTCACCTTCTGTTTGCTACCAAGGATTTATTGGAGATACAAGTCTTGCAGGAGAAGAGCAAACCCTGTTGATGTCTCCCCCTTCTCCAAGCAGCCATGCCAACTCACAGGCACTGGAGAGACGGTTTTGGGGTGGGCCCCACTGGTTGCATTTGGGATCTTATCTGAGATGCAGAGCTCCAGAGTCTGCCCTTCAGCTGCAGTGTGAAATTGAGCAAGAAAAGCTGTTTTTTCCATGGACTGAGCCCACAGGGGACTGGAGGATACACTTTCAGCACAGTCCAGCAAAGCCACCAGTTCCCAAGCATTCACAGCAAGATAAACATATGGGCTAAGTTTCCCTTTTTCTAAGGGCTGTGTATTTTATAGGTGTCTGTAGGACAGGCGTTCGTGCTGACAGCCTGTCACTCAAATCGCAAACAGGCGAGCTCTAAAGGTCACCAAGTCAGTTATAGGAAGTGAACCAGAATAAACAGCCTCTTTATCGGGCTCTTATTCCCTAGCAGACTCACAGAGCACTTCAGCTTTGCCCTCCGAGGGAAGTTGCCTGCAGTGAGATGTCTGGGGATTTATCTGGCTGCAGCTCAGATAACTTACACGCTTGGTCTCCTCTCCCACATCTGCTTCCTTTTCCACCTCGCGCTTGGCACCTTCTCCTCCTGGTTGATGAGCGCAGGGGGGCTAAGAGACCCCATGTGCTATTCTCCAGATTTAGGTGAAGACTGTACAGACTGTGCTATCCTAGATTTAATTTTTCCCATCATTTTTCTCCAGCAAAGTTAAGCTGTTAAGGCAACTTGGGCTTCCATGAGCTACTCCAAGCCCCAAGTCGCAGCATGCAACACATGTCTGATTTCAGCTGGGTTTTTTAGGCAAAAGTGATGCAGTTTGGGTGTTTTGCGAGGGGAGAGAGCTGTTTTGTTAAACCCTGTTCCGCTTCAGAGGTAAGCGTGATATTGCTTGCTGTAGCCATGAGAGCACAGTGCCTTGCCTCCTGCCAGGCCATCTGGAAGGGAAAAGAAGTGGGGCCTTTTCTCACTTCCCACTTGCTAAAACAAAGGCTTGTTCACAAGGTCTCATACTTTTCCCAAACTTTTTCTCCATGGACAACTGCCACAAACCAACATGTACTGATAGCATCAAAGTTTTCTTTGGAGACACTCCAGGTGATTCAGCTCTGTGGACCACACAGTTGTTACTTGCACACAGTTTGGGAGCTACTGATCTGAGTGAATCCAATTAGACCTTTTTACTCTCTGTGCCACTGATCTCACATTTCTCAAGTACTAGGGCAGTTAGATTACCATAGCATTTCTCATCTCTTGAGCAGCTACATCTTATTCTTGGGGCTTTGTTTGTGCCTTACTTGGTAGGCATGTATACACATCCATCGAGGTCTTGGAACAATACTGGCACCATCCACCCATCAAGCCCACCTTTCTCTTGTTTTTTAAAGCATATGTAACAGTTGCATGTGCCTAAGGAATAAGGAACCCTTTAGTGAGGTGAGAGTACAATAAGCATTGTCAAGACTTCCTGCAGCTGTGATCACCCAAACCCAGAAAGATGTGACAAAAACACCCCGTGGCTAAACAGAGCAACGTCCTAGAAAAATGCTACTTGAAACATCCTTGCCATCAGGCTGCAACAAAATACTTGGTAATGGTTCATAACTTAGAACTTTCTCCCATTTTTTTTTTATAGGTCTTAAAACAACTTGGGTGAAGGATGGTTTGTTAGGTGAGCCTCTTTGCAGGCTTTTCTGCCTTTTTTTTTTTTAATCTTACTGAGGAACTGCCCTTGAAGGTATGGAGCCCATAATAGGGACATAGCCTTTTCTGTATCCTCAACCACAACAGCTATAGATAGACAAAAATAAGGCTTGTTCCCACGGTAGAGTTTTTCTTGTTTTTTTTTTTTTTTAATTTTATTTTAAATCCTGTCCCCAACCTACTGGGTTTCTGTTCTCACCCCTTTCTGCACAGGGCAGCATCTGCTGGGGCTGGGGGGGAGGAAGCTTTCCTATGCAGCCCCAGGCTGTGAAGAAGGAGGCTTTACTTGTTCATTGCTGACAGACCCTGAACTAATTTTACGCTTAAGCTCTGAGAAAAATCTCCTTTCTACCCTCTCCTGATTTCACCCTAAAGGGTTTGTTACCGGGAGAACCCGTCGATCTCGCAAGATCTATGCTTGACGTGTTACGTGTTCACTTTTCGGCACAAGCACCCAGTCTGAGCGGCGGTCTGACGGGCGCACGCTCGAGCGGTGCTTGCCCGGGTGCCAAAACCGCGCGGGCAGCCCTGTTGCCCGCTG